GATAGGGAGCCAAAGGGGCTCTGGGAAAGAGAGCAGTACTCTTGAAGGACACAGAGTCAGCAAAGAGGAGGACTGAGATTCGACAAGCCCAGAGCTGAAGCTGGAGGGCGAAGCCCGCAGAAGCAGATGCTGGTCTTGCAGTCCCAGAGGGTGGCCCTGGGGCTGAACCCCAGCGCCGTCGTGTACTCCTGCAGGTTGGGACGTGTGGCTTTACCTCTCAGAGCCTACAAGAGGGCTTCCAGTACCATTTGGTAGAGTTAGGGGAGAGGGCCTGTGGAAGCCCAACACCCCTCGGCTCCCGCACCAGCATCTCAGTCCCGCGGCTGGTTAGATTGGCATGCGTGGACTTGATTTAATCCTGAAGCCTCAGTTCCCTGATTTGCAATTTGGGAATCACATTCTCAGCTGTGTGGGATTATTTCACGGCTGCAGCGAGATGATTTCTTGGTGAGACCTTCTCTGACCTCTCTATTTAAAACTGTAAACACTGCCTCTCCTCCCCGCCTTTCTTCTCCATCTCACTTTCCACCACCTGGCATCCTATTGATTTTACCTATTTTCCTGTTGCCTGTTCTCCCCGCCAGCAGGGATTTGAGCACCTAGAACAGCCTCTGGCCTCTAGTAGGTGCTCAATAAACAGTGGTCAAAGGAAGTTTGATTGAATAACATCTAGAGAAGACCCTAGTGCGCAGGGGATGTTGAGGTGGTGTCATTTGGATCTTAGAGATACAAGGCAGAGGCACCAGAGAGGCCAGGACAGCTTAGTTGGGGTGCCAAGTGTTACCCATGAAAGCATTTGGAGCCTGGATTTCAGGATGGCGGCTGGCCCCTGTCTGGCCACAGCCTGTAAGAGGGGAGCCTCGTGGGACAGTAAAGCTGGATAGGCCTGAGTGCTGGACTTTTCATGGAGCCAAGACCCTTGGGCAAACAGGAAGCCCATGATACTTGGCTTTCCTGTTTTCTTTAGCTTTTTGAAACATTCTGATTGCCCCTACATGGTGCAAACTACCTCAAAGAAATGACAGTCCCAGCACCATCCTGGACTCCCCAAAAGCCTAGGGGAAAAAAAACAGTGGGTTTGGAGCCAGGCAGATGTGAGGGCCTGGCCTGGCCCTGGCCCTACCCCTCTTTAGTAGAGAAATGTTGGGCAAGTCACTGCCCCTGAGTCTCTGTCTCCTCCTCTGTGAAATGGGTGTAGCAGTATCCCACTGTATGTCAACCTCCTAGGGCTTTGGGTAAAATCCAGTAATAATGTGTGTTGTGACCAATCATCATTAGACTGAAGGGCCTCAAAGGCAGAGGTTGTACCTGTAGCCCTTAGCCAGAGTCAGGCACACAGCAGATACTTGGAACCTGGTGGCCAAGGAGTTGTTAAACTCAACTGACAACAACCTATTGGAAAGGGAAGGTCTGAGTCCTGCAAGCAGTATGGCTTTTAGGCAAATCCTGCCCAAAGACCTCCTACAATTCTACAAGTTTATAGATTCCAAGAAAACCTAACTTGTATTAACTGTCCTCATTTTACCAAGCACTTGAAATTTACTGACCCGTCTTTAGCTTGTTTGTAAGTTTTCTCCTTTGGTAGAAACAGCTGGCTGAGTGACAAGATGTGGTTGCTTACAGTGTAAGGAACTGAGAAAAACTAGCTGAACTGGAGTTCTGAGATCAGACTCTGTGTTGTAATTAGCTCATGTAACTGGGATATTCAGTGACAGGCTTCAGGCATGGCTGCATCCAGGGGCTCAAGCAATGTCATCAAAAACTCAGATTCTCTGCATCTCTCTATTCCACCTTCTGAGAGCTTGCTTTGTCTTCAGGCTCCACACGGTGCCCTCCCCACCAGCCCACACCCTCACAACACAATAAGCTGGAGTCTTCCAGCTTAAGCCAATCAGGAGCCACCTGGAGCTGCTGGGGGTAGGATCAATCCTACCCAAACCACAGGCGGAAAGGAAGAGGATCCTTTCCCAAGGAAACTGTGGTATTGTTAGGAAGGGTGGATGGATTCTGGGTGGCCAAAAATTACAGCAAATATCCACTACAGTCATCAGAAGAGGAAGCAGAAAGCCATAGAAACATCTGCATAGCACTTTACAGTTTGCAAAGTTCCTTCCCTCCCAAGAAGCCAATACTGGAAGCAGAATGACATTTATTATCCCTGCATTACAATGAGAAAACGGCCCTTGAGTAATTGGTCAGGACTCTGACTTGTAACCCTGAGCTGTCCCCACCCATTTCAGCCTCTTTGTGTGAAATTATAAACCAGGGCGGGCTGACCAGGGCAGGTGGGGGCCAATGTGACTGAAGCCCCTCCCTTTAAGGAGGGAGCACCCATTCTAGATGCGAGAGGTCCTGAGGAGGCTGCAATCATGTGAAAGCCCAAATGGAGCTGGTCTGAGGGCAGAGGGAGCAGCCTGACGTGAGGACCGGTCACAGGGCTGGGCGCACACAATGGGAGTCCTGCAGTGCTCTCTCACACACACACACACACACACACACAGAGGCAGAGGGAGATCATGTGGCACACTGACGTGGGGCTCCCTGTTCCGGAGGTGGCCAAGGCATCAGGGGTCTGCCTTTTGTGATAGTGACAGTTATGGAGGTTGTCCTGGCATGTGACTGGGATGGGGGTAGCAAGCACACTGGATGTGGAGCCAGACAGGCCTGGCCTGCATCCCAGCTCTCCCACGTGGTTGCTGTGTGACCCTGCACCTCCCTCCCCCTTTCTGAGCCTCAGTTTTCTCTTCTGACCCAGAGCTGATAATTCCCATCTCACTGGGTTCTTGGAACCCAGCGCATAGTAGGTGCTTCATTAAGAGTTTCTCCCCTTCCCTCTTCGTAGTGTCCTGTTAACAGCTGTGTGATCCTGGCCAAGTTACTTAACTTCTCTGTACAATGGGAGCAAGATAGCACCTACCACATGGTGCTGTGAGGATTAGACGAAATAATGCCTGTAAAGCACTTAGAACAGTGCCTGGCAAACTTGTTACCACTCCTAGTACTAGCTAACATTTATTTTGAGTGTTTAATATGGACCCAGCCCTGGGCCTTTATCTCATTATTTGCTGTGAAATTCTAGTGATATAGGCCCTCACTGTGATTATCCCCATTGGACCTCTGAGAAAACAGGCCCAGAGGGGAAGTGACATGCCCAGGGTCACAAAGCCAGTCAGCAATGGCAGCTCTGCTCAGCTGTGCACCCTTGCATGGGACCCTCACCTCCGTGGGCCCATGTTTCCTGTCCAGGGGTCGGGGCACATCCCTGCCCTGGGCCTCCCGGGGTCACCGTCAATATCAAGTGCAGTAGTGCCAGGAGCCTCCACCGGCTGGAAGGTTCTCTGGGAAGGGGAGGAGCACTGTTATCATGGGCCCAAGGCAGCGACACCTGTCTCTGGGAACATCTGTATACTCCCTGTTCTGACGCAAGCCGGACATTCGAGAAACGCGACACATGCCACCCAGGGATACTGCTTGTGTTGGCTGCGGCCCAGAAGGCTACAAGTGCACGGCCTATTTCCCTGAAGTCCAGAGCTGCCTCAGCCTCCTCCTACAGGGCCTGTGTGGGGCCATCTGTGGAAGAGAGGTTTCCTCTCCTAGGGGAAGGCTGCCAGGGTTCGTGGGGCACTGGGGGCGGGGACTGGGAAAAGCCATGGTGGTCCCGTGTCTTACGTGAGGACCAGCTGGAGTAGGTGCTCGTAGGGGAGGAGAGTTCTATCCAGGGTCACTGTCCTGTCCAGGAGTGGAGCCCAGTCTCCAGCCAAGGTCCTCCCCTCCCCGCACTGCACGTCCCAGGTGGTCCCCACTGCAGGGCAGGCCACCTGTGGTGCAAATCAAGGACTTGGACTCAGTCCTAGATGTGACTCTCGGCCACTCTCTTACGTGTGGCCTCCGGCAAGTCACCTCACCGCTCTTGCATAAAGGGGTGGATAAGAGGAAGTACTCCCTCAACGGCTATGATGCATATATAATAAAATTACATTTGGGAAGAGTGCAGAAGTGAGTATGAGTCAAATGGTAGCTTTGTGTAATCCTTTCATCTACACATATGCGATGTACGCATTGCAGGTAGAATAAATGTGGTTTGTTTCCACTCTTACCAGCTGCTTTAGTTTACACTTGGCCCTGGGAGACAAATGTCCACAAGTGATTTTGCATTCTGGCTTGGTCACTTACTGGTTGTGCAACCCTAGGCAAGATACTTAACTCTCCATTTTGTCACCCGTAAAATGGAGATAATAATAGTGCATGTCTAATTGGTTGTTGTGGATATTGAATGAGTTAATATAGGTAAAGTGTTTAGAACAATGCCTGGCACCTAGCAAGCGCTATGAAAAGGTATGCTGTTATTAATTAATGAATACAAATGACAGTGTGTAAAATAAGGGTATTTCTAGAATAGTCTCAGTTTGAAATATTCTTTTCATTTGCTAGAAATCATGGTTGTCTGGAATTCCAAGACATTGTCATCCATGCTGTGCCTCACAGACTGCCTCGGGCTTCTGGTAATAGCCCCTCAAATCCTAGCTGTTTAGTGAAGAGACCCCTCCCTGCTGTTGATTGCTGTGTGACCCTGGGAAGGTTGTGTACCCTCTCTGTGCCTTCCTTTTCTTGTTGTTCATTGTGAGAGCAAGGATGGGATGGCTTTGTCTCCTGGTACCAGAGGGGCTCCTGCTGAAGCACTGCTGAGTGAGGTGCCTGAGTGCAGGGGGTGGCAATCACCTCGGGGACACATAACATGTGCTCTGCCCCCACTCCACTCAGCTTGTGGGCTTGTCCCAGAGCAAGGTGGCCTGGGACAGAACATGTCCTGTCCATGGGATGGTGGGAAACTGTATGCCCATCCCTGACCTTCCGCTGCCTGGGTGCTCCAGCCACCCCAGGCGCAGGCATGTTGTCTCCGGGCCTCCCTCCCCCACTTCCCTGCTGCCAGCTCTCCTCCCACCAGCTGAACCTTGACTGGCCTCAGTCCTCTGCCCACAGAGCCAGTTTGTGGCATCAGGACTGTCCAGGCGTCCCAGGGAGCCCCAGAGAAATCTTGGACTCCCAGAGACCCTTGGGGCTTCTGATTCCAGCTCTGCTGTGTGGTCTTGGGCGAGGGGCCGACCGTCTGAGCTTCAGAATCCTTCCCTGCAAAATGGGCTGGCGAGGAGGCATGTAAGTGAGGCAGGGCATGCCAAGCACCTGCTCCGGACCAGAGGCTGAGCTGAGGGAGCAAAGCCCTCTGAGGTCGGTCCTGGCTGCCTCCCTGCCCTCTATCACCAGCTGCCTCTAAATACTCTAAACACTGCATTTCTGCCTCCTTGCTTTTGCACATTCGGGATCCTTCCAGCCCGGCTCCCCACCCCCACCCCCGCCCCCAGGGAGCCTTCTGGGCTGGCCCTGGTTGTTCTCTCTCTCTTTTTCCTTCAAGAGGAAAAGAAAGCGCCAGGCTGCCTGGTGGGATGTTTGTGTTTATGTGTGTGGGAGAGTGAGTCCTGGTCCTCTCAGGAAACATGGTGCCCTTTGTCTATAGGAACTGGGACCTCCACCCCTCAATTAACAGCCCCCGCCAAGCGCAGGTGCACAGGAGCCAGGTAAGCTTTTTGGTTTTCAGACCCTTGGAGTTAGAAAGACTTTGTGGAGCCTTCCAGGCAGGCAGCCTGCGGTGAGGCCAGGGGTGAAGGGCTGCTGGCCGAGTGGGCAGAGAAGGATCTGTCGGTTCTCAGCTCCAGCCCCTCACCTGCCCACTTGCCCCTCAGTCCATCCTCCCTGCCCTGTGATCATGGCTGCTGGGTGACATACATTGCCCACTTACCATGTCCCAGGCTCTGTGTTAAGCCTTTCTGGGTAATAACTCATATAATACTTACAACGACCCTAGGGCTTCCATTCTTCTCCCACTTTGCAGATGAGAAGCCTGAGGCACAGGGAGGTGGGGTCCCTGGCAGAGGCAGGATCTGAACCTGGAGGCCTGGCTCCACAGCTCACTCTTCCTGCTGCTGAGCTGCCTCACCATTGACCCACCACCCTTCCACCCACCTCCGGGCATTCCTGCCCGGCCAGGCTGGCCGTGCACTGGGCTCTGCTGGCCGCGCCCCTGCCGCCATCCGCCATCTGCAGAGTGAGACCCCTGCCCTCTAGGAGCTCATGCCGTGGTGAGGAGGTGACCACCCACGATTCTCTAAGACTGATAAATGTGACCAAGGTCTTGAGCGCCCGGGTTCTGGGAGCTTGGGGAGAAGCCATGTAACTACTATCATCTGGGCTGTGGCGGGGGTCGAGGGCAGCCTATCAGAGCTGAGGTCGAGGGGGAAGGGTGATGGAAGGACTTTATCGGGTGGACAGCAGGGAACATTCCAGACCAGTTCCAGACAAGGGAACGCAGTGTGCAGAGGTGCTGAGGCTGGAGGTGCTCAGGGGACAGCTGGCATCTCCTCAGAGCCCTAAAGATGCAACGGCTTGGCAGCAGGCAGGGCTGACAGCAAGGCTTCCTGGGCACTCCCCCATCTGCTGAGATGGGGTGCTGTCAGTGGCTAGAGGTCTGAGCCTTGCTCCATCCCAGCACCTGGCCCACCGCCCTCTGGGGAAGTCCCTCCTTGGGTCTGACCTGCAGCCCACTCTGACCATCACACATTCTTTCCAGAGCCCTTTACCCAGAGGCTGCTTTATGGCAGCCGTAAATAGCTTCTGTCAGTGAATGAATAAAGTCCCGGCCAGCAAGGCTTGCCAGAGACACTGGGCTTGGCTGAGAGAGTGATTCCATTCCCCCTCTCTCTGACCCTGCAGCTGAAATGTTCCTGGACTAATCTTTAACTGCACTCTCTCCCTGAGCAGCTGCTGCAGCCCAGTTGGGTGCTGCAGGACCCCCTCCCATCCCCATCCCATTGCCCCCACCCACCGGAAGCACAGGAAGCATTCAGCTTTTCTCTTCAGTCAGAGCTCCTTAAAAGAGCCCAGAGGGCCCAGCTAACAGCCCAGAAGGCACTGGCTCCGGGCTGATTCTGATTGTTCCCTGTGTGTGTCTATGGAGAGTAGCAGCTGGGAGACCCCGGGTAAGTCTTTCATCTTCTTTAGGCCTCAGTCTTCCCATCTGGGCAATGGGCCAATCTCTAAGGCAATGTTTCCCAAACTAATCTGTTCTTAGAATAACTTGCCAGGCCCTGCCCTAGGAGATCCTGACTGAATAGGTCTGGGATGGGGGAACTAGGAATGAATGGAGGGAGCAGTTGCTTGTCTTCTTAATCTTTTTTTAAATTTGAATATAATCACCGTGATAGCTTTTACTTCCCATCACTCCCTTAACTCAGATCTCATCAGATCCTTATCACACCTAAAGGTACAGGCAGGGTGGGAGTTACTAGCCCCTGGATTGATTTTTACATATATACACACTTCTGACTGCCTCCTAGATCATTGTAAGAATATGTCCATCACCCCAGAAATTTTCATCATACACTTCCTACTCTTTACATCTCACTTGGGATTGGGGCCTTTTTTCACAATCACCCTAAGTGATTTTTGTGGTCTGGTGCATTTGGGAAAATCTGCTCAAAGGACCTTCCCCAGCCCAGACATTCTTGGACTGTGACCTCTAGACCAGGACTCCCCAAGGACAAATAACTGTCCCCCTGGGCCCACCAGTTACAGCTAGTGAGCACAGGTGAGGCTCCTTGAGGTCTCACATCAATTTATTAGGCTGGTAAGTGGGTGATCCTTTCAGGGTGTCCCAGGCCTGAGAGCTGAGTGAGGTGGGGAGGGTCTCTGGGTGAGCTGTGGTGGAGAGAGCCTGAAGCAGGGGTGGCCCCTGGTAGGTCCCGTGTGAAGTCCTGAGCAGGGCTTGGCTCAGGACCTGCCATCTGTGTGACCCTGGGTCATCCTTGCCACGGCCCCCTGGGTCTTTATTTCTTCACCTGGAAAGGGGGACGACTGTATCTAGCTCTCAGTGTTGGTAATAAGTATTCAAGTAAGATGGCGTATGTCATACTCTGCACCTGGCCTGACTTAGGGCTCTCCTGAATGGGAGATGAATGTTAGACTGATAAAGCAGCAGGCTTCAGAGATGCAGGGAGTGACCCAACATCACACAGCTGGGAAGTGATGGATGTAGGACTTGGACCAGATTTGCTGGCTGTGTGTCAGCTGACTTCCCTGATAACCCTCTGTCTCCCCATCTGTTGATGAGGCTGTTGACCCCACCTTGCCTGTATCACTAGGATATGGTGAGGATCTGATGCAATTTGAGGATCTGATGCAATTTGAAGATCTGATGCAAAGTGAGAAAGAGAAATGTTTAATGGAGTAATGTGATTGGTTTCCTGTTTTCATGGTGAGCTTGGTGGCATTTCTGGGGCCAGGAATAGGGTCCCTTCCTTGGCACCAAGAGGTTAAAACATCTCCCTCCAACCTTGGGTGCTTTGTACTATGGGATCTGAGGTGTCCCAGGAGGCAGGAAGTGTAACTAGAAAAGGCCTGGTCACATAGACACACAGCTGGGTTGGCCTCCGGATTGTGTGTGTGTCCAGTGGCTTCACCTCTCTGAGCCTCAGCTTCTGAATCTGTAAGAAGCAAACCATAATCACCATCCTGACTTCATGTGATGTTGTTGGAACCCATGAGAGAATGGAAAAGGGGGAGGGGACACTTTGGAAGCAGAAAGGGCCCCTCCGGGCAGGTGGCAGCTCAGCTACGTCCAGCCTTTGTGTGCTGACCCTCTGGTGATGGCTGGCTTTGGGCCAACACCTGGCTGAGACTTGACTGAGGCCTCCTTGCTGCCCTGAGGGGCTGGTGCTGTCCCAGTTCTGACATAGGGCAGGGGCTGGGGTTCCAGCTGTGGAAGCTGGCAGATCTGGGTTCAAATTCCAACTCCATCATTGCACCTCTGAGCTTCAGTTTCTTTATCTGTGAGTGGGGATGCTAGTAGCTAGCTCCCATGGGGCCTGGCACACAGTTGGTGCTCAGTAAGAACAGTGCCTCTTGACTGAAGAATCGTGCTGTACACCAGAAATTGACACGACATTGTAAGCTGACTTTAACTCGATAAAAAACTATATTAAAAATAAAAAAACTTTAATGAACAGTGCCTCTTATTCTAGGTATGGGTTCACCCCTCTGGCTGGTTCATCACAGACTCAGGCTCCTGGGCTTGTAAGTGGGATGGAGTGGCCACTGCTGCAGGGGGAAATACAATCTTGGCCCCAGCTAGGGCTTCCTTTCCTTCTGTGCTTTTATCCCACAAGGTGCCGAGCACAATGACTGGCACACAGTAGGTGCTTTTTCCTACCGTGGCCCGTCAGGACTCTCCAAGAGGACAGAGACGGGGTCTGTCCTGATCCCCACTGAGTCCTTAGCACCTAGAAGAGAGCCAAGTATCCAGCAGGTACTCAGTAAATGTTTGGGGATGTAGAATGAATGAAGATGAATGAACAAGCCTCAGGTTGAGAAAGACTCAGCTGGGGGAGGGGAGCTTCGTGGGTTGTCCTCCTCCCCTTTCATCCCTCCTGGGCTAATCCCCAAAGATTAACCCTGGGGACAAAACCAGGTCACGTCCACTGACCCCGCTTTGGCGCAAGCATCCAAGGCTAGTGTGACTGTGTACAGGGTGCCGTGGCTGCTCCGTGGGGCCCTGTTCACTCAGGATGGCTCTCCTGTCCCCCACCCTGGACGTGGTCCTCACAACAGTCCTCAGCCTCCTCCTCTTGGCGCTGACCTTCAGCCTGGTGTGCTTCTTCACCTGCCGCCTGGCCAGGCCACTCAGGTAGAACTCACCCTGGCCCAACTCCCTCCCCTGCCAGGTCTCCTGCCCTAAATTTTATCTGGCTTCTGTTTGCTCTTGTGAGATAGAGAGAGGATGAGCACTAGTCTCTCTCCCTCTCCTTGGTGGGGAAACCGAGGCCCAGGGAGGTTGAGTCAGCCTGGAGTTCAGTTGCACTTGGCCGTAGATGAGCTGAGATCCTTTGCTCAATTTCCTAGACTGTAGAATAGAAGCTAACAATACTTGTGAGGATTAAGTGAGATCACAGATGTAAACAGTTGTTAGCACAAGGCTGGGTACAATGTGAGTCTCCAAGAAGTGGTAGTGATTTTTATCAGTCCTATTATTCTGTCGTTTGTCCTGGACCTTTTGAGACCCAGCCCAGAGCTGGCTTTCTGCCCACTCCAAGGGGCTCCGGTGCCCTCTGTCCCAGGATGCTGAGTCAGTCTTCAGGGCCAAGGCCCAGCCTCTGCTCCCTCCCCTGACCCGCCAAGTCACTGCTCCTCCTCCAGGGCCAGAGCCCAGCCAGGGCTTCTGCACACTTGTCATGAATAATCAGGGCACGTAGCTGGGAGCCTGGCAGAGACGGTTGGGCTGGGAGGTGGGGAGCGATGGGACTGGCACGCACCCGGAGGCGCCATTCTGAACTGGTAGGGCATTGGCAGAGGGTGGTGGGCAGCCGGGGCCCGCAGAGCCCCAGACTGGGCCCCATGGAGCCCATCACTCAGGGCTGCTGGAGAGCAGACTTGGAGCCTCTGAGTGGGGGTAAGGGCCGAGAGGGGGAGCCAGCAGGGGAGACTCTGGCTTCTGAAGGGTTTCCTAGGTTTCCTCCTTTCCAGGAGGAGGCAATGGGAGAAGGTACCTGTTTGTCTCCAGAACAGGCCTTTCTCAATGCCGCATCCCTGGGGCCAAAATTCAGAGCATTCCAGCCTGAATCATGGGGCTTTTCATTAAGTTAACATTCACTGAGCTGCTTCTATGTGCACGGGGTTGGGGATTCCGAGATGGGGAAGGTGATCTTTAGTCTCACAAAGCGTCAGGCTAACAAAGAGAGGCAAACGAGTAAGAATAATCATGCAGGATAAGGGCTGGATAAGCTCTTTAGATCTCCCGGGGCTCCCCTTCACTTTTATTTTTCCTTATTTATGAATTTGTTTTGGACCCGAGGTTCAGAGAGAATTGAGTAAGTTGAGTAAGTTGTATTTCTCACTGCATGGCGTACTATCATGAGGTCAGTTATCTTATTTATTAATCTTCTCCTTCATCCCTGCTCCCCAGTACCAAGCCCACCAACTCCCCAAAGGCCCCCACGCTGAATTTGTCAGTGTCCTTGCAAGTTAGGCCGTGTTGTGTATAGGAGTGTGGTTTCCATTGACATACAGGGTACAGCAATCCTGTGTTTTTAAGCTCCACCCATGCTACTGTTTTAACTTCTAGTTTTAATACCACTACCACATAGATACTGCCTCCACCACTCTTTACAACTTCCTTCCCTAGGCTGTGGACCTAGAGGTTGCCCCCAGGGCTTTATAATCATCATAAACTGGCGTTAAAGGGAATATGCCAAAAATTTCTCCAATAAATATGATGGTTCTGTAGGGTTTTTCTTATATAAAGTTTTTATCAAGTTAAAGAAATTCTTTTCAATTCCTGGTTTTCTGAGGTCTTTTCTCATAGTTGTCTATTCCTCATTCCCTCTTCTCAGATGATCTTGTCAAGTTTCTTTAAGGCTTTAAACGTCACCTACATACCCATGGTCCCCAAGTGTATACCTCTAGTCAAGACCTCTTTCCTAGATGTCAGATGCCTATATCCAACTGTCCATTTGATGTCACTACTTCTACGGGACACCTCAAACTCAGTAAGTCCAAAACTACGTTCCTGATTTTCGCCCACCAAATCTAATCTATCTCATACCTCAAAACACCCCAAATGCTGAAAGTCTGAATTCTTCTCTTCAAAGATCAGGAACAAGGCAAGGTTTTTCACTCTTCCCTCTCCTATTCAACATAGTGCTGGAAGACCTAGCCAGTGCAATAAGGCAAGAAAAAGAAATAAAAAGCATACAGATTGGATAGAAAGAACTAAAATTGTCCCTATTTGTCAATGACATGTTTGGCTACATCAGATGGTGAAGAATCCACAAACATACACACAAAACTAGAACCAGTGAGTTTAACAAGGTCACAGAAGGGCAAAACATAAAAATCAATTCTATTTCTATATACTAGCAATGAACAGTTTAAAACAATGCTATTATAAAAGCTCCCCGCCAAAGTGAAATACAACAGTATTAACCTAACGAAACACGTATAGGATTATATGCTGAAGACTGCAAGAACTAAATGCACAGAGACATACTATGTTCATGATTGGAAGCCTGAACATTGCAGAGATGCAAACCTTCCCCATATTGATCTACAAATTTAATACAACATCAATTGAAACCATAGTGATGGAGAAGAGAGCAGGGGTTGCCAGGTATAGGCATGGGGGAGCTTCTGTGAAAACAGAGACCACACAAGAGTTTTGGGGGTGGTAGAACTCTTCTGTATCCTAATTGTGGTAGAGGTTACATGAATCTATACATGTGTTAAATTTTAAAATCTTCATCCTACAGTTGGCGAACGTGAAGCCCCACCTTTGGAAGGGTCACCGTGGTAACCTTGTTGCTAATTCTGGAATCAGCAGCTCTGTGGTTAGAGTTCTGCTCTGCTACCTGCTTGTCTGTAGCCTTGGACAAGTCATTTTTCCTTTCAGAGCCTTGTTTTTCTCATCTACAAAGGAGCTCATACGTCCCTCTCTGTCTACTGCATACGTTATTATGGTGAAAGACTTTATAAAAGGTGAACATTTCTTCTATGTCCTTTATGGATTGTTTATATAAGCTCTCAGAGGATAGTGTTTTTATTTTATCAAAGTGTAACATACATACACAAAATGTCTATATCCTAAATTGACAGTTTGTTGGACTTTCAGACTGAACTCACCCATGTAACTAGCCCCAGGTCAATCAACAGAATTTATCAGCACCTTGTACCTTCCCTGTGCCACAACCCCCTACCCCGAGTGCAGCCTTTATCCTGTCTTCTAACACCCTTGGTTGGTCTTTATACTTTTTAAAAAAAATTTTTAATCAAACTGTAGTTGACATACAATATTATATGTTACAGGTGTACAGTAGAGTGATTCAGAATTTAAAAGTTATACTCCATTTATAGTGATTATAAAATTTTGGCTATATTCCCTGAGCTGTACAATATTTTATACATAATATACATATTTTATTTTATACATAATAGTTTATTTTATACATAGTAGTTTGTACCTCTTAATCCCCTGCCTTTATTCTGCCCCTACCCACTGGGCTTTTATACTTTATATCATTGGACTCACACTGTATGTGCTCTTGGGTTGGCTTCCTTACTCAGCCTTACCTTTGCAGGATTCATCCATGTTGGTGTATGGAGTTGTCAATCTTTCGTTCTCATTGTTATGTAGATTTCTGTCTTGTGAACCCACACAATGTATGTATTCATCCTGCTGAAGATGGTCACAGTTTTGAGGCATTATGAACATTCTCATACGTGTCTTTTGGTGCACACACGTGCATACTTCTGCTGGCGCTGAATGAGTCAGAGGGTGTATGGATGGTGTCAGCTTGGTGGATGCTGCCAGTTTTCCAAAGTGGTTGTACCAGTCTCCACTCCACCAGCAGTGAACAGATACTCTGGTAGTCCCAATTCCTTGCCAACACTTGGACTTTTCTGCACCGACAGAGAGGGTATTTTTGGGTGATTGATCCCTACCTCCCCCACTTAGAGCACGGGCTTTCAGTAAATATTTGCTGTGCTGAGCACTAGAGTACAAACAAACAAGGCAAAGTCCCTGCTGTTAGAAGCACCCAGTGTAGTGGATGAGATGGACCAGGAAGGAATTACATTCAAAACAGAGAAGTCCATGCAATGATTGTATTGATACTGTATATCAATTTGTAACATTCTTTTCCTGATGTTAAAATTTATTTTAGAAACGTTTGGAAACTAAAATAGACTTAAAAATTAGAAGTCATCTGAAATCCCAACAGTCAGAGTTAAGTGCTGGTACATATTAGATGAAGGATATTTCCTTTCAATTTCTGCGCTCCCCTCACCACCCCTTGCCCCAGATTTTTAAGGAACAAGGTGGACAAGGAAGGGAGTAGAAAAGCACAGGGGTGTCCAACTGGTTGGCATATTTGGTGCGTTCTGGGTGCTTTGTGGGATGCAGGGCCAGTGAGTCCTGTCTCTGGGCACGGGTGTGCCCCACGCAGGTTTTTAAGGTTGAATCAAGGTCGCTTTTTTGAGTGGTTTCTTATCTATCATGACCCTCTGCCTAATGGTAGAATGTTGCACATCACCGCTGTTTCATTTTTATCTTAGTTTTGGTGGAAATAATAACATTTCCCAGTGAAACGCTTGCCATTTAAAATTCCTCTTCTTCCGGTAATGTTTATACACAACAAGGTTAGTACATTTTTCAGCTGCCAGTAGGATTATCCCTTGTGATCCTAACAGGATGACCACAATTTAAAAACATTCTTAAGTCATTAATACAAGCTTATTTTAGACAATTTGGACCAAAAAAAAAATTAAAAGCAAGAGGAAAAAGCATTCATAGTCCTACTGCCCAGAGAAAACCATAGTTAACATTTTGGTATATTTCCTTCCAGTCTTTTTTTTTAATAGTATTTTTTTAAATTATAAAGGTAACATCTCAACCCAGAGGATAATTTGGGAAATGCAAATAAGACAATGAAAAAATATTCAGAGTCATCTGAAAAGTCACTACCCAGAAATGGCCGCCCTTACCAGTTAATCTTTTTCTGTATATCACTCCTGCAGTTTTTATTTCTCTCACCATAAATGACAAGCTCTAGAAGGGAATGTGGCAAATGTAGGTGTCCCTGTAAGAAAAGGTGGCCTCTTTGTTTTGGCTTTGATGTGCTTGGGGCGTGGGTAATTAAAGGCTGAAGACTGATGTCCGAGAACAGTGCTTCTCAAAGTGGAGTCCACAAACCTGCAGCTGCAGCAGCAGCGCCTGAGAGCTTGTTAGAAATGCAGTCTCTGGACGAGGGCTGGGGGGTGCTGAGATCTGTTTCAGCAAGCCCTCTAGAAGCTTCTGATGTACCCTGCAGTTGGAGAAGCACTCCAAAGAAGGACAGCTCTGGTAGGTTCTGGGCTTCAGATGGATTAAAAGTGGGAATTCACTTGGGAAATGAGAAGGGACCACTTTGCAGCCTGGAACTCATTTATTCCTGCACAACTGTTCGTGTGATTAAGCTTCCCGAGGGAGGGACCACTTAGGTTTTGTATCCCAATACCTGGTCCTGTAACAGGTGCTCAAGAAATAATGAATGAATGAATGAATAAGTGAATGAACAAATGAACCCTGGAGCCGTGGCCCACGTGTCTTTTTTTTCCCCCCTAGGATTGGAACATCAATTAACTGCTGACCACTGGCAACCCACACCCTCCCACCCACATCCATCGTACCTCTGGGCTCCAGAGAGAAGGCAGGTCTTGGAGTGCACCATGATTTCACCACTCTTAGTGCTGGCCATTGGCACCTGTCTTACCAACTCCTTAGTGCCAGGTAGGAGTGAGGACAAGGGCAGAGGGAGGGGAGACCTGGTGCAGGTGGGATAGGATGAGGGCAGTAACTGTGTCCAGGGTTATAGAACCATCCGAAGTATTTAAGAGCTGGAAACAAATGTTCAGAGCAGGAAATCCTAGCTCTGCTATTGCATGTGCTAGTGTTGGAAAGGTCACTCTTTTCCTCTTTATATTATCCTGTTCTTTAATTGGGGTTTCTATTCTCTCTTATCTCTAAGAATCTGAAATAGAACTTATTCTCCAAGTTCTTAGAATGTTAAGTCTCCTGTTGGTTTTGTTTGCTGACTCTCCCTCACGGTAGTACATTTCCTTGTATTTGTAACTCTTGCTTGTAAACTCATCTTCAACAGGAGTTTCATTTTGTTTTTGTTTTGTTCCCTATTGGAAACTCAGACGAGAGTGTTTCTATGGTGCAGGGTTGTGTTTGATTCTTCAACTAACTCTGTCAGAGTGTTTATGTTAACTTCTCAGTTTTCAGTACTTATGCTATAAATTCAGACCTCACTACACTGTAAATTCAGGCTCAGATTTAGAGTTGAGTTCACATTTCCCGTGACTGACTTTTTCCCACCCCTACCAGAGCTCCGAGGCAAAACATGCACCTGAAAACAGTTTCAGCCTCAACCTGTATCTGGTCTGACATCCCAAGGGTCCCTCAGCATCAGCTCCTGTTTATCTTCCTGGTTTTGAATTCCCTCTTAATGTCTGCCTCCTAGGGATTTCCCTTCCCCCTTTTCTTCCTTTTCAAGCTGCTGGGTTTTTGTTTGTTTTTTTTTTTTGTAGTTAAAAGTCAGATTTATTTAGTAGAGATAC